GTGTCGTCCCGAGAGGGTCACGCTTCAGTATCCAAGTTCCCCCTATATGCTCCCAGGAGACCAAACCGTACACTACTACAAGACAGAGGAGAGCCTACAAAGGGGATATCGTCCTGAGGGGGGTCACACTGTAAAATTCAACTTTCCCCTATACTCCCTCAGGAGGCCAGACCATAAACTACCATGAGGCAGAGGAGAGCCTACAAAGGGGATATCATCCTGAGGGGGTCACACCATAGAATTCAAGTTTGCCCTATCCTCCCTCAGGAGGTCAAATCACAAACTACTACACGAGTTTCAGTGCAAAGGTCTCAACACCCACTCCGTCCTTGCGCTTCGTTCGTCTCCGGCTGCTTCCCTCACGGGAGAGCAGAGCCACGGATCGGAACTCCGCACTCCCCTCGTACTGATTTCGTTCACTCGTTCACACACAACCGCTCAGCACACCATAAGGTTGTACAACACTCTCGTCTCAAGGGATCCTGTCCGTTTATATGTCCCGATCCAATGTCGGAGGAGCTTTTGATACGATCCCAAGGACGAGATTAAGACGCTGGAATCGGCCAGATGGTGTACAACCTTTTAGTTTTATTTGGGGTGAGAAGAGAATGGAGGGAGGAGGGAGGGCAAGGGAGGAGAGGAAGCCTCAGGCTTCGTCGGGGACCGAGGGGCGGGGGGGCCTCCAGGGTGGAGGAACGGAAGCGGAAGTCGCGCGCGCACGCCGCGAGGCACGCGCGCCCCTTAGATAGGGGCTCTCGCGCATGCGCAGATCGCAAACGTGTACGTGCGCTGCCCCCGCCTCTGCTCTTTTCCCGCCTTCAGTCCCTGCGCAGGCGCACGAGGTTGTTTTTTCTCCAAACTGTGGAGAAGATGGTTTTCTCAAAGCGTGACGCTGGATGGCGCTACAGCGGCCACGTCGAGACAAAACCACATTTTCTATCAGTCCTTCACAGGGTGTGGGTGGTAGTGGTGGTTTAAAACCCAGTCTGCAACTGGTTTTGGGAGGTAACGGGGTGTCTGTGTCCCCTCCATGGTGCTGGGGCTGCTGTAGACAGTGGCCGCCAACCACTTGGTGGCCCAGATGGCCCTGAACAACTGCTCATCCCACAGCCACTGTGTCTTCCAGCTCCACATCCAGGGCTCCAGCCCCACCCGAGACCTGCACTGCACCTGCAAATGGGGGCGTGGGACCTTTTTAAGGGTGTGTGGGAGCCTTTTCGGGCCATCTGGTTTGGGGTGAGCTTTTGCGGGGGGTCCACCCTTTAAGGGCTACCAGTTTGGGGCAACCCTTTATGGATAAGTCTTTAGGGGCCACCCTTTAAAGGCTGCTGGTTTGGGGTGAGTCTTTAGGGGTCACTGGTTTGGGGACGCTAGGCTGGGGTGAGACTTTAAGGGCTACTGGTTTGGGGGCACCCTTTATGGGTGATTCTTTCAGGGGCCGCCGGTTTGGTAGCACCCTTTATGGACAAGCCTTTAGGGGCCACCCTTTAGAAGCTGCTGGTTTGGGGGCAAGCCTTTAGGAGCCACCCAGTTTGGGGGTGGACCTTTAGGGGCCCCTGGTTTGGGCTCACCCTTTATAGGTGAGCTTTTAGGGTCCACTGTTTTGGGGCCACGGGTTTGGGGTGAGCTTTTAGGGGCCATGGGTTTGGGGTGAGACTTCATGGGGGCTACTGGTTCAGGGCCACCCTTTAGGGGCCACCAGTTTGGGGCCATGGGTTTGGGGCCATCAGTTTGGAGTGAGCCCTTTTGGGTTCTGCTTTTGGGGTGAGCCTTTTTTGGGACCCTGCTTTCAAGGCCACAGGTTTGGGGTCACAGGTTTGGGATGAGCCTTTTGGGGCCATGGGTTCAGGGCCCCCCTTTTGGAGCCTTTTTTGGGACCCCACTTTCAAGGCCATGGGTTTGGGGTCACAGGTTTGAGGCAGGCCTTCTTGGGACCCCCATTTTGGGGTGAGCCCTTTTGTGGCCCACGGGTGTGGGGCCACCAGTTTGGGGTGAACCCTTTTGGGGACCTCCCTTTCAGGGCCATGGATTTGGGGTGACTTGTTTTGGGGTTCCCCCCCTTTTGGGGCCACGGGTTGGAAGTGAGCCCTTTTCAGGCCCCCCCCCCCCCCATTTTTGGGGTGACCCTCCTCTCCCCTCCAGCGGTGCTGAGCCTGGTGGGCCTGGCAGGCAGCGAGTGGATGGACGAGTCACTGTTGTGAGGGAAGCAGCTGTGGGAGGCACAGGCCATCAATGCCAGCCTCTCCACCCTGGGGCAGGTCATCATGGCCCTCTCCAACAAGGTATGGGGTGGGGGCCCTGGGTTGGGGGAGTCCTCAGGGCCCCCCCTTAGCCCCCAGCGTCTCCACAGGAGCCCCACGTCCCCTATCGCAACAGCAAGTTGACCTACCTCCTGCAGAACTCCCTGCAAGAAGTCTCACATGGGGTGTGAGCACCGAGGCAATGTCCGCTGTGACTTCAGCTTCGACCGCACCTTCCGCCCCGGTCACCTCGCACCAGGAGACCTTTGAGGAAGTCACATTGCTGGTACAGGTGAGGGGGAGACTCCTGAGAACCCCATGGCCAGGCTCCCCATGGTGTCCCCATGTCCCCAAGGGTGTCCCCATGTCCCCATGCCCCCTGCCCTGTGTCCCTGCAGTGGTACAAGCTGGACGAGCTCCTCGAGCACGAGTGCAACGTGCGGGTGGCCATGACGAACCAGGCAGGGCTGCTGGCCCTCATGCTGCACCCCACTACCCAGCATGAACCCCTCACCACTGACTGCTGACCCGCCCCGGACGCCTGGGTCCCCACCCAAAGTCCCCCCCAGCACCCACCCGCGTGTCTGGGACACTCCTGGGTTGTCTTCCCCAAATAAAATGGTGTCAAAGGAGGCAGCTGTGGGGTGCCTGTGGGGCTGGAGGGGATCTATAGGGTCAGAAGGATCCTATAGGGCTGGGGCGGTCCCGATGGAGCTGGCAGGCTCTATGGGCCGTGGGGGCTCTATGGGGTTGGGGAGTGGGTCCTATAGGGCCGGGGGAATATACAGGGCCAGGGGGGTCCCTATGGGGGTGGCAAGGGGCTCTGTGGGGCTGAAGGGGAACTGTTGGAGTTCAAAATCCCAGAGGGGTCCCCAAAATCCAAGGGGAAGCAGTGGGTGGGAGGAGTGGGAATGGGGTAGGGGGAATGAAATCAATGGGGGAAGAATGGGGTGTTGCTCAAAATTTGGGGCAGCTCAACATACCCCAGGGGACCCCAAAATGCCCCCCTGGACCCCAAAATGGCCTGGGAGAGGGGTTGAAAGAATGTGGAGGGGGTCTTGAAACAGGCAACAGAGATTTGGTGGGTCCCTGCTGGGAGTGGGGGGCTTCCTGGAAATTAGGGAACCCCAAAATGGCCCCAGGAGGGCTCAAAATGACTTCAGGGGGGTGGTGAAGCTCCTGGGGGGGGGCTGTGAAACTGCCCGGGGGGTCCAAGCTTAGAGGGGAGCCCCAAACTGGGCAGGGGGCAGGACTTAGATAGGAGAGCCCCACCCTAAAACCAACTTGTGGGGGTTCCCTGGGTCCTGTTTAGGGGTGACGGGATGGAAAGGGGTGTGGAAACCTCAGGCTGGGGGTATAGGGGAGGGGTTGGGGGCACCCAGGTGTCTGGGGGGGTGCGGGAGGGGTACCTCTTGTAGCAGGTGTTGGCGGGGCCACGGATAAAACCTCCAGCTGCTTCCAGCTAGGCCCCAAGGCAGGGCACTCCTCCCGGCCCTCCGCCATGCTGCCCGGGGGGGCTACTGCGGTGAGGTTCAGCACCCCCCACGGACCCCCAGAAACACCCATCCCTCCTAGGGCGCTGCAGGGGATGCAGGCAGCGCCTGAAGCCCTGCCCCCCCCCCCAGGCCCCCCCCCCTCCTCCTGCCACCCCCGGGGCCCACAGCCCCACTCCCCGGCCCCTCCGGGGGCTCACAGCCCCCCAGCCCCTCTCCCCAGGTGCTCACAGCCCCGACGCGGCCTGGATCCCCCCCAGTCCCCTTCCCTGGGGCCTACTCCCAAGGGGGAATGTGTTATATCTCATTCTATGCAAGGTACATCAGGTGGAAAAATCGTATTTTTAGTCACCTCTCATAATGCTCAGGCTTTAATAAACCATTCATTTTCTTCACAGATTGGAGTATCTGCCTTTCCAGACCTTTTCATACAGTCATTGTTTAAGCCAGGTGCTAAGATCAACCAGGACCACAAACATAAATGTATTCACATACTGGCATATGCAGCTAGTGTAGTAGAGATGTGGAAAAAGGTAGTGTTTAGTTCTGTGAATAACATTATTTTTACCTACAGTGGCCTGACTGTGCTGAAGAAAATGTATGGTCATGATGTTACTCAGTTTAAAAGAATGCATTCAGCCTGATTTACTTATTTTAATATGAAATGTTTCTGGCTTCAACTGAAATGACTAAAAAATGCACATCCTGAAGATCCCTGATAATGAAATAGTACTATAAAAGCCTGAGTGCACTATTTTTGCTCTTTTCCCCTATTGCCCCCCAAAGGTTACCACTAGCAGTTCTCTGCTACTAGAACCATATGTGCTTTTTCAGAGGAAGAGGAATTTAATTCTGTGAAATGGACAGAGTAATTCTTAGGGAATTAAATAAAGCAAACATCCTTGTATTTCAGCTTATTGATACTTAGTTCTTCTGAAACTTACATTTGAGTCTAAATTTTGAGAAACGTGATGTAATCTTAGGCTTATCGCAGGCTACAATTCCTTTCCTTGAATGACCAAAGACATCCTGTATATTCATGACTCTTGCATTCAAACTTTGCGGTTTTTCAGGACAAGAGTGTCAGCATAAACATGGATGAACTCAAGTCAACTTCAAAAGCCATTGAAACTCTTCACAATCTGTGTTGCGATGAGAACAAAGGAGCATCAGAGTTGGTTGCAGAACTGAGCACTCTTTATCAGTGCATCGGATGAGGAGAGAGACTGGCCCCAAGCTTCAGTTGTTGGAAGTATTATTTAGGAGAGGCAGTACTGCTAAAGGGAAATGCCTTTGTGGGCTACTCCGTGAGAACATCCTCACTGTGGAATATGTGAAGATGTGATCTGAAAACAGCTTTCAAAATTGTACATCTGACTTTTTGAAATCTCTCTCATGAGGACATAGATTCTGGCTTTCACTGACAATTAGTCCTGGTGTCACAGAATATGCTTTTGTCTGCCACTGGAAAAAGACGACAGATTCCTAATAAAGCTTTCCTAGCAACAGATGTGTCCTTTCCGCTCCTCTTAAAACTATGAAATAGCAGACAATGAATAAACTGGAACGAACTTGAGTGTACATGAATTTTGTTGAGTATTTTTTGCATTTTGTGCTGAGCAGAGAGTGTCTTTGTAGAAAGAATTTTACTCTGGCCTAACTTTTTATTTTTTCCCTTGATGTTGTCGCGGATGGAATGAGAGTGCACTCG